ATCCTCAGAGCTTTCTAGAGTGCTCTACGTTCTCCCAGATGGCTCTCCTGACCCTCACAGAAAGCCTCAGCCTGCGCCGTCCTCCCTCCCTTCTGAGCCAGAACATTCCTTCTGGGAGGCCTGGTGTGTTATCTCTGAAAAATCTGTAGACTGCTTATGTTTCTTTTTTCAAATTAAAACAATTGGTGCTTATACTCTTGGAGGCCCTAGGCAGCTCCCCAGCTCCGCAGGGTGCAGGTTGGCCTGGGCCCACCTCTGTGTTGATCACTTCTTCCAGGGAACCACCTCCCCAGAGGATGCCATCACACATTCCTTGGTATTTTCAGAGTTTAGCCCCTTTTTTACGTGAGTGTGTTGTGAATGTGTCACGAGAGTGTCGTGCAAGGCTGGCCCATCTTCTGCGTCACCAATTTCAGGTCACAGTAGACTAGAATAGCCCTGCTGGCCTGGGCTTTTCTCCTGTCCCTGGGGGAGGCACCCCCCCCTAAAGTCTGCAGGTGGGAAACCTGCCCAAGAATGGCTTTATCTGGCCCTCCCATTTGGCCAGTGGCTTATATGGGGTCAAGTTCTTTTCCCTGAATGTTTCCCTGGTCTGACTGCAGCTGCCTCTTGAAGGCTTTGTGGCACCATGAATTCTGCTGGCCTGGTCTGGCCAGAAGGTCTGTGTGATGATCTTGGATTGTGCTGAAAGGTTCTTCCACATGGTATCTTCTTACCTCTCCATTCAAGGATCTCAGACCCACCCATCATTCCACCTGCTCCCTTCAGGCCTGGCAGGAGCCCACTTGTCTGGCTGGCCCACCCTTGCCAAGCTGTGCTTGACTACTACAGACCACCAGGGCGGGAGCCTGTTCACCCCAGGGCTGCCCTCCAGTGCTGCCCCTCTCCCTTTCCCAGACTCTCTGGATTTTAAGCTGGTCCCTGGGGACCTTGGGCTGTTTGCTACATCTCCCAAACTCCATATCTCATGGCTTCTCAGGGAGCTTTCCCACCTGCACCTCCAAGGGCTCTCAAGTCCTGCCCTGTTCCCAAGGGCCTTGTATCTGGCCGCTGGGCTGGAAGATTCTGAGCCCAGTAGACTCTGGCATGGCCTCTTCCCCAGAGATGACAGCACACATTGTCCAAGATTTATTTGCGCAGCCAGAGCAGGTAAACGGTGTTCTAGACATCTTAGACTTCAAAGGAAACAAGAGGCCTTCGATGTGTTCCCTAGTTCAGGACCAAAGTGACAGAATGTCTGTACAAAGTTCTGGACAACCTTAAAGCTGTGCCCCAGAGTCTCACCAAGACTCAGGAGCTGTAATTAAAGGACTGCACACCTCCCTCGGGTACTCAAGTTCTATGTTCTTTTGGTGTCTGTCACTCACTTTTCTCAAACACAAAGTAGCGCCAAGGTCCTTATGGAGCTCTGGGTGGGGCTATACTTCTGTTCCTCAGACCCAGCTCTTCTGGAGCTTCTCACACAGTGGTTCTGCCTCTGGCCCAGGGCTCTGCTTCCCAGCTGGCATGGGAGCCCCTGGGGGCCCAGACACAGGAGCAGCCCTCAGGCCAGGCAGCTGGGGAAAGAGCAGAGGCTGCTCTTGGTGTTTGCCCATCCTTTGGTGAAAAGGATGTTCTTGAAGAACCCAGCACTTTTCTGCAGAATTCCAGAAGCAGGGTAAACCCTCTCCAGAGAAGGTGCCGGGACAGGTGGCCCTTCATTCTCTCTAGTGCTGACAGGCTCTAGGTCAGGAGAGAGCCCAGGTCTCACAGGGTGGTCATGGCCTCTGGAGGCTCACTCCCCCCACCCCCAAGCTAGTTATTTTCAAATAGGCTCTTCTGGTGGGCTTGGCCTTCTGGTCAGAGCAGTGTCTTGGGACAGCACTGGCTGCACTCACCATCCCTGGATAGAAGTGCATACCTGGGCATACAATAGGCCACCTTCTGGTGAGGAGTGGTCTTGGGCTTCTGGCCTCCTGCCAGCATATTCTTCCATAGGCACTTCTGTGTGCTTCAGCCCAAGGGTATACCCTGCGCAGTACAGACAGCAGGTTCCCAGCCCAGAAGAACGCAGACAGGGCACCCATCAGAGGGCCACCCAGCCCGAGCTCTGAAAGGAAAGTGGAAGGGCCGGCTGAGCCAGGGTTTGGCAAGAAGGCAGAATCCCCCACCTTGGGGCAGAACAGACAGAGGACTTGCAAAATATGCCTGGCTCCAAGCACACAGGTCTGCACATACCTAAAGGCCCCAGTCTGTGGCTGGGAGAGGCAACCGTCCCCTCACCCCCACGTCCACCCTGGGCTGTCTCTGGAGAAGGATGGGTGATGCAACTCTCAACTCTCCAGACTTGGAAGTGGACGCAGCAACAGCCTAATCCTTTGGAAATTCTATCTCAGTGGCAGCAATCAGGACCTGTTTTGAGAATCTACACACACCAACTACTACCGCCCACTGCAATTCCACATGAAGCCTAGAACCTCTGGCTATGCCTTGATGATTGGCCAACAGGCCTCCACAATAGCAGGGTCACATCAAAAGGACATAGGACTTAATTTGAAGAGGCTTCACCAAGTAAAGGAAGGATGATTGAAGCCCACAGCAATGTTTGAATCCATGAGTTTGTCAGCATGTTTGGGGGGTGATTCAGGGCCAGCTCTCTATCATTAAAACTAGGAACAAGGGAGAAGCTGGTGTCTGCTGGCCTTTCCTGTAGGAATGGTACACAGATGGCCAGACAAGGGATGTCTTTCCTGAGGAAGTTATTCCAGTGGATCATTGACAAGTAAGTTCCTTGAATCCACTTGGCTGGACATGGAACACCAATGGCCAGTGACAGCTGCTGACTCCCACTGAGAGTGCCCCAGCCCTGTCCACCAAACCTGGGCCTCCAGATGCCCATGGTCAGGAGCACACAAGCCCGGAACCAATGGCTTGCTCTGCACAGGTGGGGCCTCTTGCACATCAGGGCTGGATCTGTCACAGGTGCAGGTGAGGACAGGAAGGGATGGAGGGTGGAGGACAGGGCTGCAGGGAGAGAGAGTTAAAGAACTATCAGTCACTGACAAGGGAGCCACCAAGTTCAAGAATGTGCCCTGGGGGGAAATCTGCAAACCAAGGGCCCCCTATGCTGTCAGGACTAGTGACTTCTGGGGCTGGGAGTGCTGAGGCTGGGGTGCAGCCAGTTGGCCACTTCTAGGTCTTGACTCAGGGGGTGGTGGCAGGGTGTCCACCTTGTAATGACTCACAAAACTGAAGGCCCCAAAGCAGACACTGCTGCCCCTGCCCCAGGCCTGTTACAAGATCTATAATTTAAATGAGAGACAGCCTCAGCTACAAGGTAGGGTCCTTGCCCTTGACAAGATTTACTAATTTCTGAGAAGGGACGCTGGGCCTGTGTCCCTTCTATGAAATGACAGGGTTAGACTTGGCCCAGCCCCTCTGAGGACTGCTATCAATGGTTGGCTGGCAGTCCCCCTCCCCAGCAGAGCTCCCCAACCCTGTGTGTAATTCTGCTGCTTATTATGGGATGGGGACCTAAGCCATTCCTAGAAAAGTTTGTGCTTTTCTGCTGGCTCTCTGACCTCTGCCCCAGTAGTGTTGGGGTAACTGAGGCCAGAGCTTAGTCAGGCAGCAAACCCTGCAATATGCTCCTTGGGTGCTTCTGTTCCCACTCTCAGATCTTTTCAATAAGGCCAGTCCCCCTGGAGGACACCTGGGCACGGCCTTACCTTTGGGTTGGTGGCATTTTCCCGCCATTCCATCTTGACAGGGTGGAGAGGCAGCCGCTCAGAGCTGTGTACAGCCCTGTCCTGCCCTGGGTGGGTGGCGGGTGTGGGCCAGGCACCCCTATTCTGCAGAGGGATGGTGCTCCTTGGGAATACTCCAGGGGCCTAGACCTTCAGCATCTGGCTGGAAGAATCCATGGGGCAGAGGCCAAAAACCCAGGCCACTCCTAGGTGTTCTGTGCCTCTGGTCGGAAGTGGCTTTTCAGAATTTGGTTTCTCATTTCCTGGTTGTTGGTATGAAACAGTGTAGATCCCGGGGACTCAGAGCCCAGAGATGACCTCTAACCTGCCAGCTGCTTTTTAGGGTTATAGCAACATGTGGATTTTAAAAGCATAGTTAAACCATGTGATGTTTCCATGTGGCAACAAGCTGAGACCATCTTCACTCACACCACTTGCATTTCTGCTTGGTTGCTGGAGAATAGTTTTGGAGCGATTCATTGCACCAGTCGCTATACATTTTAGCTCAGTTCTCTAATGATGGACACTGGTTGTTCCCAGTTTTTGTGAAAAATGGACCAGGTGTTGGTAAGAACAAGGCCTGTGCCATCCTGGTACATGCTTTTTGGGGTCTGGTACCCCACTTTGTTGGGGGCTTCCCTGCATCACCCTGTGAGATCTCTGTTTGGGGGTCTTCCCCAGAACACCATGGCCCAGTGGGATGGGGGTAGTGCATTTCCCAAGGGTTGTACACTCCACAGCACGGGCCAGGCATGTCACAGGGCCTAGGACTAGGTCCCAGAGAAGCCTTCCCCCAGGCCAACCTGGTTCCTGCAGCAAATACCTTCCAGGCCAGGCTGGGTGAGTCAGGACCACCAGAGGAGCCCAAGGCCTGTGGGCCAGCGGGTGAGGTCAGGGAACTGCCCGGGGGTGGGATGCAGATAGTGCTGGGGAGGGCTAGGAATCGCCCCGGGGTGGGGATGACCCTGTGAGAGGGAAAGAGAGGACCTGGCAGGGCAGACTCGGCGGGAAGGGGCGGGGTGCGCGCACCCTGTTGCGGGGTGAGGCCAGGGGGAGAGGGCGCGGGCCGCGAAGACCCCGTGTCCAGGGTTCTGGGCACTTAGGCCGGCGAGGGCTTGCGCGTGGGGGACCTGCGGGAAGTCGCCCCGCCCCGCTGCCGGCAAACTTTTCCCGGGGCCGCGGGGGCGGGCAGGTGAGGTCACGTGGTCCGGGCGGGGCGGGGCGAGGGCGGGGCGGGAGGACCCCGCCCCTGCGCTCAAGTCCGGTAGCGGCAGCGGCGTCGGCGGGAGAGGCGGCTAGAGCTGGGCCGGAGTGGGGCCGGAGCGGGGCTGTAGGGCCGCAACCACTATGCCCACCAACTTCACCGTGGTGCCCGTGGAGGCGCGCGCCGACGGCGGCGGGGACGACGCGGCTGAGCGGACGGAGGCACCGGGTCCCCCCGAGGGCCCGGAGCTCGACAGCCCCAGCCCGGGTGAGCGCGGCCGCACCTGCCCGCCGGACAAAGGCACGGCCGGGACCCTCTCGTGGCCCAGGAGGGGTAGGGAGCCAGCGCGGGAGGGGTAGGGCTGCCCAGGCGGTAGGGATCGGCCCGAGGGGCAGGGCGGCCTGAGAGCGGCCGATGAGTGACCCAGGCTGAGAAGCCGGGCCCCCGGAGGGGTGGGGGCTGCTCCGCCTGTATGCAGTTGTTTCCCCGCGCTTCTCGTCCCCTCTCCCGCTTAAAGCCCTATGCCCCAGCTTAGCCACAGGGTGTAACACAACTACCGGCCGTTCACTGCCTGGGTGGCCGAGCCTACAAGGGTTCAGGAGGGGCCACTAGAGGCGCCTTTGCCTCTAGAGGCCAGCGGGGACTGTTGGGAGGGGATGTGGACGCTGCTGGTGGGGCTGTGGAAGGGAGAGAAGCCTGCGCCCCTTAGCTTGAGTAGTGAGTGAGGTCCCAGAGGTGGTTCCCGTGAGCTGGTGCCTTCCTGCTTCCTCGGAGCTGGCCTTAGCGCCACTGGGCCAAGGGCAGCCAGCCAGATAGGCCCTGGCTGAGGTCCAGTTCTGCCTCCAGCTGACCTTGGACAGGCCTCCTGTGGGGTCCTGGGCAGGGAGACCGGCCCAGGCCTTGCTCAGGCTGTCCTCTGGGCCCCCTTGTTCTTGGATTCTGGAGGTTGGCAGGTCTTGCACTTCCTCTCGGGAACCCCCAGCTTCTTCCCTCTGTCCTGGCTCCAAACCCAACTTCTCTTTTGCTGCTGGGTGGGTCACCTTGGAGCAGCTATGTAATCTTGGGGTCTCAGCTCCCGTTCAGAAGTTGGGGGCAGACAGGCCCTCAAGGGTGTCTGAGTGGGTGTATTCTGTCCCGCCCCCACTCTATTCATTCATGTGCTCTATGTCATGCTGTGGACACCAGGATTCCTGCTCCAGGGTGGAGGAAGGAAAGGGGCTAGTTCTGCAGGACAGGTCCTTAGCAGCTCCTGCCCAGGCAGAAAAGTCCAGGCAGCTCCCCTGGGCAGTTTTGGGAGCCAGCAGACAAAGATTAGGAACTACCCTAAAGGCACTGGCCCCTGGGCCTCATGCTGTTGTCAGGGCCAGGGTTTGGGTCCTGTGCATCTCCTTTGGGTGGGTGGGGAGCAATCTCATGTCCCTCTGCACAGGGCAGTGGGGGTGGGACATGTGGTGTTGCTTCTTGGAGCTGGTCAGTCCTAGACGAGGCGTATACAAGTTTGTGAGCCGGCCTCGTCTTCCCCCAGCTCCCACTGGGGATGCTGAACATCCAGAGTTCCTGCCCAGACCGGGTCTTTCTGCGGGGGCGGTGGGGGGGCTCTGCATCCTCACGTCTGGAGTTCCCAGAAGACACACAGCTGCCCTTCCATGGTGGCAGCCTGACTGCTCCTTCCCAGGTGTTCACCTTCTCCCTGGCTTGAGGTGTTGCTTTTTCTTTTTGAGACAGTCTCAAGCTGTTGCTTTGGGTGAAGTGCTTGGTGTCACAGCTCATAGCAACCTCATACTCTTGGGCTTAAGTGATTCTCTTGCCTCAGCCTCCCAAGCAGCTGGGACCACAGGCTCCCACCATAACGCCCGGCCACCTTTTTGGTTGCATTTGTCATTGTTGTTCAGCACGCTGGGGCTGGATTCGAACCCGCCAGCTCCCATGTATGTGGCCAGTGCCCTAGCTGCTTGAGCTATAGGCGCCCGGTCAGGTGTTGCTTTTTCTAAGTCAGAGATAACTTTCTTGCCCTCTTTCCTCATCCCGCCCCTGTCAAGCAGTGCCCCAGCCTGCATCTCGTCCGGTGGCGGGCCAGCATCTCCAGCCAGCCGGTTCCCATTCTGCTGCCTGTTTCCTCACTTCTTTTGAGGACTAGTCAGGAGCGCCACTCCTCACACGATGATGCCAGGTGAACAATCTCAGATGAATGAGGGTGCTCACCCCGGGGGGGTTTGGCTGAACTGCCACACAACTTGCCAGGCTGTTGCAGGCGTGCGTGATAAATGGTTTTGGGGGCCCACTTGACTGTCCAGATTTTCAGTATGGTGCTTAGAGGTGTGATAGGTCTTAGGAGGGGCTTAGGAGGGGCTGCCCTTGGGGAAGGAGTGTGACAGTTTGGTCTTTGGTGGTGAACAGAAGATCCTGCAGAAGCCCTTCTTAGAGGCCTATTTATGGGGTCCGTGCTGTGTAGGGTTCATGCCACATGGTCACAGGCGAGGGTGACACAAACCCACCCAATCGGGGAGTCACCAGCACTATTGGTACCCTAAGCCATCTCAGAGGCCTGGAGTTCTGGGCAGGATCTTGGGATGTACCAGGCTGTCTCGGGAGTAGGGGCTCTGGGCACCCAGAGTACAGGACGCCAGGTGAGGTAGGGGAGTGTATGCCCACACAACCTTCTGCCAAATCCAAGGCAGCTTGGCAAGGCCCGGCCAGCCCAGACTGGTGGTGAGGAGCCTCCTGGGCCCGTGGCACCAAGAGCTGGAAAGAGCCGGACCCCACGTAGCTTCCCAGCTGTCTCTGCCAGAGCCAAGGCAGACCATGTTCCTCAGCCCAACTGCAGGACAGAGAACCTACTGTCATATTGTCTGGATATGAAACGCCTCATCACGGGGCAGGAAGAACACCTTCCTTCTCGGTCAGAGAGGAGGAGCTGGTGAGGACGCTGTGCTGGGGCAGGGCCTTTCTCCAACCTCAGTTGTGGGGTTTGTAGTGACTTGAGGGAAAGTCCAAGCTGTGTGGTGTGAAGGCCAGCAGCTGTCATCTAGCGAGGGCCCTGCTGGCCTGGTTGCCCCACCCTTCAGAAGGAGCTCCCAGTGCAGCTGCTGCAGCCTCAGTGTGGATGCTCACAGGTGAGCAGTGCCCCTGAAGCCTGGGCAGCCCATCCCTATACCCTGGGTGGGGCTAGTCCTTCTTGGGACTGTCCTGGGGCTGAATGGATCCTCCTGCAGGCTCATTGGTCACCAAAGGTCTTGCTACTCTGTTCCCGATGCACTGAGGTGGCTTTGGGTCACCTTTACTCAGTGTGGTGTAAGGTACAGTCCAGGCAGTGGACAGTGTTCTGGCTGCCCCAGGGCTGCTGCTGCTAGGATGGGAGGTGATGCATGCTGGCCAGCTGATCTTGGGGTCACCTTTGAGATGTGGGGATCCAGGGAACAGTACATTACAGGAGGGGGGCAGAGTACAAAGCTTCTAGGCTCAGTCCTGCTAGTGAGGATGGGAGGCTGCAGCTCCTACCCTGTCTCAGGGAGGCCACATGTACACAACAGGTAGCCAGGGAGGAGGAGACCCCCACCCAGTGGAGCCAACCAGCACTGCCTTGTCGGGCTCCTCACAAATGGGACTGAGAGTCAGAATGTCTTTCAGAGACTGCTGATGTTCAGAGTGGGGGCCAGAGATTATAAAACAGGTATTTTGTGAACCAAATTCTCTTTTTAAAACCAAAGGAACTGAAAGTCACACATGAAACAGAAGCTGCAGGGCATCCAGGACTATGTCCTTGCTCTGTGGAGCCCCAGCCTGTCCCCTTAGGAGTCACCTGGTGAAACATGTTGGGGCATCATGCCGAGCCCATGTGCGCATGTGCATGCTGAGTGAATGCTTGTGTGCAGAATGTGCACGTCCACATGTGTGCACTTACTTGGTAGAGAGGGTCATATGCATGGGGGTCCCTGGCATCCAGTCTTCCGTTTGGAGCCAGGCCTGTCCAGTGGGTGGCTGGGTATCTCCTAGTAGTGTGAGCCTCTTGTCCTGGGTCTGATATTTGTCCTCAGCTCCTAGGCCTTTGGGTGTATCTGGCACCCATTGCCTCCTGGACCTAGGTCCATGGCTGTGCTATGCTGGGGCCTCCAAGCTGTGGGCAACAGCTCAAAGAGGGCTCCGAGGCTGGCTGCATGAGCCTAGCAAAGCTGGCAGCTGGAATGTATGGCAGGGTTGTCTGCCCAGGCTGTGTTCCTCATGGGCCTGGGGTACAACTGTGACGTGAATAGGAGGAGCCAATGCGTGCTGTGTGATGAAGTGGGCTCTGTGGGGAGACTGCCAAAGAGGCCTGGCATTGGGTGGCCACTGAGATAGGGGCACAGGTGCAGGACTCAGATGATGTGGACAGTGGTGCTGGAGGAGTGGTGAGAGGTGGGAGGGGTAGTGGATGGGAGCTTGGGAGCTATGAATGGGGCAGGTCTGAGCAGGAACTGGTGTGGGTCACTCCCTAGCAGGGACCATGATGGGCAGTTGGCTTCTCAGAAGTGCCTTTCCTGGTCTCAGCGCCCGTGGCTCAAGTGGCTAAGGCGCCAGCCACTACACCTGAGCTGGCAGGTTCGAATCTAGCCCCGGCCTGCCAAACAACAGTGACAGCTGCAACCAAAAAATAGCCGGGCGTTGTGGCAGGTGCCTGTAGTCCCAGCTACTTGGGAGGCAGAGGCAGGAGAATCGCTTGAGCCCAGGAGTTAGAATTGCTGTGAGCTGTAATGCTACAGCACTCTACCTAGGGCGACAGTTTGAGGCTCTGTCTTAAAATAAATAAATAAATAAATAAGAAGTGCCTCTAAGTGTGTAGTGTTGGCATGTGGGGGCTCTTGACCTTCTGAGGGGCCTTGGGATGGTGAGTCAGGGCCTGCAGCCGCAGGTCACTGAGCTGGCCATAGGCACTTTTATGGGAAAGACAGCCTGGGGCTGGCCAGGCCAAGCGTGAGTCCCAGGGCACTGTGGGCTCCATGTGCACTCAGCTGGACTTTGGGGAGGCGGTGTCACTTAGCGGGGAATGTGGGATGTGGAGGTGTCCTGGGCTCTGCAGTGAGTGGCACCCACGCTGGTGCTGTGTGCTCTCAGCTGGGTGGCCCACCTGTCTGTGCTGGTGGCTCTCAGGGAGTGCGTCCTAGCTCCCTGACGGGACTGCTCCCTCGCTCCCTGACGGGACTGCTCCCTCATTTGGTCTGAGGACTGTCCTGGCCTTGGAGCTAGGCTGGAGCACCAAATGCAATGGCCAGTACCAGGACACAGGGCAAGGG